AAGGCAAACTTGAAAGATTGTGTGATGTGTAGATCTGTGGTCGATAACTTGAATTCTGATGAAGACTCATTTACATTAAGAGTTTATTCAAGAGTTTATGGACAAAGTCAATAAGTAAAGAAATATTTGGAAAAAGAGCAACTTTATTGAAAATTGCGCTACGTGAACGTATATTACGACACAATATCAAATTTCAAAAAGAATTTATTTTTTTTATTAAATTTTGCAAAATCTATATAAAAAGGAAAGAACGAACGAATTTTCTGACCCATTCAATATTAAATATATTTGGAAAGAGAAATTTCTTTCGGGAGATTCTTTGCTCGGCACAAAATAGTTCTTTTACACAACGGGTAGCATCGAAACGTGATTTAAGAATGAATTAATTCAAGGTGGGCAAGCGCGTTTACGCGCGTGTCGATCGTTCATCGATGAACCTCGAGAGGCCGGGTCTCTCGATCGTCGCACGAGCCGGAACTCTTTCGGATCAACGAAACGTGCCGCGTTAATCACGCCTCGGCGAAGCTCGCATCTGAAAATTGGCCACTTTGCACTTGCCACTTCGCATTCGCCACTATGTTCGCCCTCTGAAGAGGAGAGAACGTGCCTCTCTTCCGGTCTCGATCGGCACGATCGGTTGTGGCTCGGCACGCATGAGTGGACCGCGCGCGCCGTTTACCTACGCGTTCTCCATCGCGTAAGTGTTGCATTGTTTCCTCCGATCGTTGTCGAGAGTCGCGACCCTGCGACGCATGAATTTGACCCCGCAATAGTCCTCCCTACCAATGGTCGCAGGGGGGACGGCGGTAGTCCCGAAGTCAAGGGTCTTCCCTTGAGTGTTTTTCTTTCTTTCTTTTTTATTTTTTTTCTTTTTTTTTATTTCTTTCGTTCGAGTGACTCTCGTGAAGTCAGGAGAGCACGTGGGTAACAGAAACTTTCGAGAGAGGGAGAGAGAAAAAGAGAGTCTCTCTCGCCGTCCTTCCCTGTCTCGGTTTGTGACCGAAATCCATCCTCTCTCTTTCTCTTCGGGATCCTTTGTTTCTCCGCTCTTGTTATTCTTACTGACTGCGTTCGACGAGCCTATTCCCCCGCCTGATCGCGCGACGATTGAAAGTAAACTACCGATACGCTCGCCACAATACCGCGAGCTCGCAATAGCACATTGTCGCGGCCGTACACGTTCGCGCGACAATGCCGTTCCCGCGCGGTCTTTAAAGCGTTTAGCTAAGTGCACACCGCCCCATTGTCGACTTTAATAAACGCCTCTTCTTTCGCCTGTCGATCGCCCATTCGATTCTACGAGTCGCGCGCGACTCTTCGAACTCCGCTCGATAATCCGGCGCACTTTAACAATTACAAATCAATCTCGATTTATAAAACTGGCGAATATTGTTTCGAACTACGTGAAACATGTGCTGTCTTTTAAAAAACTTGGAAAAGAGCGATAGAGAGTAATACTTCTAACTAAACGATAAAGCAGAAAGCATAAAATGGATCTCTCCTCCCTCTCTCTCTCTCTTTCTCACTTTTATATTCCAGTTAACAATAATTATAATATTTTTTTAACAAATATATTTTTATATTTGAATTATATAACGAATACTAAAATACGTGATTATAACAGTAAATGGATATGAAAAATTTGATGCATCTTTTAATTCGTGAAAACATAAATTTTTTATCAATCTTGATTTATTATTTTTAAACTACTTGTATATATATACATGTATTTTTAGTTTATACTACACATATGTATAGATGTGAGCGTATAACAATTGCGAAAACGTTATTAACAATCTCACGCGAAAGAGATAGGTATCGAAAGAATATCGAATGCATTGGTGACAACGTTGGTAGATTAAACCTCGAATAGTTCCGCCATCACGCTCGAACGCACGCCAGTCCCGGTTGGTGGATAATTCGTTGAAGGAAGATACGAATGATCTGGTTGGGGCCAGAAACGGGGGAAAGAGAAGGGACGGGACACCGGGTGAGGAGAGGAAGAAGGGGCGAGAAACTGCCTGGCTGGCGTGGATTCCCCTTCATGGGTAAAATGGTCCCGCGTGCCTTCCGAATGTTCTTTAATACGGAGATGAACTTTAGGAGGGTTCTTCTCTCTCTTCTTTCTGTCTCTTTCTCTCCCATTTCTCTGTTTCTCTTCCTCTTTCTCCCTTTCTCTTTCCATCATTTATCGCAGCAGGTCGCGTAAACATATTTAGAGCCATGACACTTTTAGAATCTCCGAGATTTAGAGATTCGGTTCATTAAAAGGTACAAGCGGGTGATATGTCGCCGTCACTAAAGGGCCCGGGACGATAATTTATGTACGACCGCATCGAGCGATAGAAAGAGAAATGTAAATCACCAAATTATTTTCATCAAATAATAATTCACGCGTGAATATATCCTTGATGAATTTATGCGCTAACCGACTTATTTCAGACAGGACAATCTGATGTACAAGAATAAGAATAAGTATTGATTGATAGGTATTATACGAATAAAATTACTCAATAAAATTACTCAATAAACTCCTAAATAATACACGCTAATTTGTAAGATTACCGTTTACCGCTATATCATCAAAATCTCGAAATTACGAAAGATCTTTCTAAACAACTTGATACAGGGAAGTTTATTAACAATTCAATTATAAGATATTACATTATCAGGAATAGAGTGGTTCGGATCTATTATAAAAATGATACAGATAGTTTTGGTTGGCGGCTCGTGCTGTTCGGAGCCGATTTACTCCCTATACGCTTCCACGATAGGTTCTCCCCCTTAAACGCTCGAGTTCCGCGTCGGCGTTAAACTCGCGAGTAGGTACACCGTAGAAGCGATGAGCAGCGCGGCGCGACTTTGGCCCCGTGATAGTAAAGACGCAAGATCCAGCAACCGCGAAGGCCCGAAGTTGCTCCTCGAGTTCCGCAGGGTAGGGTGGAAGGAGGGTGGGACGGGAAGGGGAGGGGAAAGAGGGCTAAGGCGGTTTTAATTACCGCTTAAGACACCCTCGTAGCGTTAACCCCACGCCACAGTATAGATACTGACGGAGGGCCGCCCCTAAGGATATCGTTTGCAGCGCACGGTTACGAAGGAGCAACTCAGGGCTGCTGGATGAGGAGGACACAGAAGACGAGGGGAATTCCGGTGGGAGGGGGGAAGGAAGGCGAGGGCCCGGAGAACTTGTACGCCAACGTCGCACTCGATTCTCCTCGGTACGCCGGGGGGTGGAAGTTCGAGGCAACCTACCCTACCGAGCCGCGAGAACTTTGCCGCTACTAGCGTGGCCGTCTGCCAGCTATTTCCTCGAGCGAGTCACGTGAAAGAGGAAGACGGGGGGCGGGAGGCCTCGAGGAGCGGTTGTATCCCTGGGTTTTGCCGCTTATATGACGATTATTACGGACGTTTTCGTTACCTCCGAGTTCCGTGGACGCTTCTAATCTGATGTCATATATGGAAAACGTGATACGCTGTCCTACGATGACATCGGTAATCTTATCTTACACGATAACAGTTATCCGCGCAACTTCTCGACGTTACTCGTTATCGAGAGTAATGCAGAATAACGGCGTATCAAAGAACCAGCTATTCATATTGTAAATTTAATATTATCGGTATCTTCGCTGAAACTTCTTTGCAATCTGTTATCACGAATACATTGCGATGATAAAGACATTTGAATCAGAATCCGATCAATCCACTCTTATTTCTTATCGGAAGGTATTTTCCGTGATATTTTTAATTTTCCATATAGGATTAGTTTAAAAAACTCGTCAAACAATTTGAATCCTAAAGAGTGGTACAAAATGATACGTCTACAAATTGTATAATAATCAGATTAAGCCGATGAACAAAAAGTAAACTAATTCTTTATCGCCAAACATACGTATAACATTACGCGAATATGAAATATATGTAAACGAATTATGATCTCTTGTTGCTAACTGTACCATATATACGTGTAAAAATATATGGGACAAGATTGATTACATATAGAATACATAATGAGAGTCAATAACAGCAGCGTGTCATGTGTCACATCGAGCCAGACTTTAACTAGAGTTTCTCCAGGCGGAGAGGAGGTAGTCGCGGAATGACAGTGGCGTATCTCGTGGGGGTGGCCGGCAACTGGCGTCGGGACGCTCGTCGTCTTATCGGGCACCCCCTTGCCTATAGCTTCCTCCAACCCCCTTCCTCATCCTCTCCTCGTTCTATCCCGTGTGTCTCCTCACCGTCTCCTCCCCTCACCCCGTCGTCGTAGCGAGCCCGGTGACGCCTCGACGCGCTCACCCAGAAACCGACGATAAGGTTCACCCGGCGACGCCTGCCTATAACACCCGCTCGTCCACATACGCACATCGATACGTACACGCGAGCACACGTACACACGCAGATACGCGCGCTCCAGCGCACGTCGCACGTAGGGATTGATATAAGAAAGCCAGGAAGAGAGAGATGGGGGAGGGGTAAGCGCCGCGAAACCACAAATCGTGCGCCGCGTTATCACGCATGCTGACATCGATAATACATCGCCCATCTCCTTGTCGGGAAAGATTTCTGGAAGGCATTAACTTGCCCGGCAGTATCACGAGATCTGGAAAAGATAATATGGCCTATCCTGCAACTATCCTCTGCAATTATTGATTAATTTGAAGAAAATTTTTCGATAATTTCCGAAAAATTCTTCGAATTTCTTCGAGAGGGATTTTCGACTATTAGCGAGAATTGCAACTTTTAATATTCGACATCAAATAACTGTAGTAGACAAACTTTAAAGTTCTGGAGATGACAGGAGATGTAAGACTTGCACTTATAGTTAGTGTTTAAGTCAACGATAAATCTGTTTAATTCTATTCCTCGAAACTTAATTCGTGAAAGAGGTTCTTAGCACGAAATTATTGCAACTATGTAAAACGATGACAGAAGACTCGAGATTGGCCGTAATAGCCGTTCACGCGAAAGACGTTGATAATGGTGCACGATGCGTTTTATTACAGTAACCGAGCTTGAGGGTGGCGCGCACTCGGACGAGACGAACAGCGGGGGTGACAACAGCAATGCCGGCAGCGTGTCGGGCGGCGCCGATGACGATCAGGCGCGTCTCCGCCTGAAGAGGAAACTGCAAAGGAATCGCACGAGCTTCAGCAACGAGCAGATCGACGCGCTCGAGAAGGAGTTCGAGAGGACGCACTACCCGGACGTGTTCGCCAGGGAAAGACTTGCCGGCAAGATCGGTCTACCGGAGGCGCGAATACAGGTAACTATTCAGCGCAGCGTTGCACAGTCTTGACCACAAAAATGCTTAGAAAACGGACATGTATGCACTCAGAAAAAAAATATGCCAGCAACTAAATTGAAGAGAAATAGAAATCGTAACTATATGTTGTTATGAAATTGCAGTGAGAAAAATAGATAAGTTGCATGAATTGAAGAAACAGTAACGTCAATCATTTGTAGTAAATATGATGAGAATGGTTATAAAAAGATTATAATATCAAATAAGTTTAATAGACAAAAAATATATTATTATTAAAGAAAATGTCATGGGCTATCATTATTAAAGAAACATAGTAACGTTAATAATTTGTAATAAACAGGAT